TACACCTCCCAGCATTAGGATCACAGCCATATACAACCATACCTGGCTTTTTACATGTGTGCTTGAGGCAGGCAGGGGGTGGGGTGGGGTGGTGGTGTATCTGAACTCAGGTCCTTATGCTTATGTGGCAGGCACTTTACCAATTGGTAGCTACGTCCCCAGCCCCTATTCACATTTTTTTAAGTGCTAATTTCTTACTCAGGGTTTCAAAGGTATAGTTGCTGTTATGAATTTTCTGGACTTCATCATTTTCTCTCTTTTCTGAACACAATTATATTTCCCAGTATGTTTTTTCCTCAATATCTGAACCAGGAATAGATGCTGAGTTTTACAGTTAGCCTTCTTAGTGTCGTTTGAAATGATTTAGTCATGTTTCCAGTCTGTATGAGTTGTTACTAACATTTTCCTTGTAATATACTTCCTCGAATTCCATGGAGTTATTATAAACATTATAAAATTTTATTAAAATGATACTTGTCTCTCATAAAATAGACTAGGCAATTCAAAAATGTTCCACCCCCCTCCCCGAATTCTAGTAGAGGTTAAATAATATAAGAATATTATTCAGCCTGGCAGTGGTGGCACACACCTTTAATCCCAGCACTTGGGAGGCAGAGGCAGGTAGATCTCTGTAAGTTCAAGGCCAGCCTGTTCTACAAAGTGAGTTACAGGATAGGCTCTAAAAGCTACACAGAGAAATCCTGCCTCAAAAAACAAAACAAAACAAAACAAAACAAAACAAGAATATTCTTCAAAGAATTCAAGGAAAAAAATCTTGAATCTTGGAGCTAAGTTTTTTAAAAGATTATTTTATAGTATGTCTATGTGTTTACTCAAGTGTAGGTAGGTAACACCACGTGTGTGCAGATGCCATCAGAGACCAGAAGAGGGCATCAGATCCTCCTTGAACTGGAGTCATCGGTGTTTGTGAGTCACTGGATGTGGCTGCTGGGAACCAAAGATGGGTCTTGGGTCTTCTTCGAGAGCAGCAAGTGTTCTTCACTGCTGAGGCATCTTCAACCCCTTGGTGTTGAGACACAGTCTTACTCTGTGGTCCAGGCTGGTCTTGAACTAACACACCTCTAGAGGCTGAGATTACTGACATATGCCATTAGCCCACCCAGCTCAAGGGAGGTTTTTTAAAGACTCCCAGCACTCCCGAGGCAGAGGCAGGTAGATCTGAGTTTGAGGCCAGTCTGGTCTAAATCTCTAGTTTCAAGCATGCCAGAGATACACAATGAGACCTTGGGTTTTTTTGTTTGTTTTTTGTTTTAAAGTGGTTTTTTTTTTTCAGTGTCTTTCTTTGTTATTGATACTGAACTACTAATTCCCTACCATTTGGGGGTGTGTTCTTGGCATTTTGATCATTTAGCTTGTCGCCTTTTTCTGGTGAATTTCCACATTTCTAGTTCTCTCAGTTAAGGAGTCACGCTATGGGGAGTAAGTACTTCCTCCTTTCGAGCATTCCTTTCAGTAGAGTCTCTTATCCCTTGGCAAAGATCCTCCAGAAGGTAGTTGGGTTTCTCTCTATTTTTTTTTTCTTTTTATTTATTATTATTTGCAGTTTATGTGTACAGCATGGTAGTTTCAATAAGATTGGACCCTACAGTTTCCCATATTAGTAAGCTTGGTTCCCAATGATGGACTATTGTGAAGGATTAAGAGGTGTGGCCTTGTTGAAGTAGGTGTATCACAGGGGCGGGGGAGGGGGGTGCTGCGGGTAGATTTTGATGTTTTAAAAGCCCTGGCTAGGCCTAATCTCTCTCTGCCTAATGTAGCTCTTAGTTACTTCTCCAGCACCATGACTGCTTACATGCTGCCATGCTCCGTGCCATGGTGATAGTGGACTACGCTTTTGAAACTGTGAGCAAGCCCTCAATTAAATGCGTCCCTTTGTAAGAATTGTCTTGGTCATGGTGTCTCTTCACAGCCATAGAACAATGACTAAGACTGTGAATGTTTTGCCTACATGCATGTCTGTGCACCATATGCATCCAGTGCCTACAGAAAGCCAAAAAAGGTGGGGGGAGGGGTATGTTGAACCATCTGGGACTGGAGTTACAGAAAGCTATGAATTGAACCCTGATCCTCTCTGGAAGAGCATCCAGTGCTCTTAACCAGTGAGCCATCTCTCCAGCTTCTGTTATGTGAATATACCTTAATATATCATGTCCAACCATCCACCCACCCATCCACCCACCCATCCATCCACCCATCTATTTTCATACCTAAATTCGAGTTAGTATTTACAAATAAAAGCAAATTGAATAGAAAGGAAATGCCAGGCATGCTAGTTGCCTGAGGCAGCTATGAAGGCGCTCCCCAGGAGCGGTAATGTCTAAATTAGTGTCTGAATGAAGGGGGGAAAGCCAGGCATGGGAAAGAAAAGTGTTCTTGGCAGAGCATCCATCCAGAACACAGGCCCTGAGGTGAGATTAAAGTAACCTCAAGTCCGGTTTTATTCTTAACTTTTACAATGAAAACTGGTATTTTAAAGGCACAGAGTGAGCTGCAGTCACCGAGAGCCGCTAGGATGCCAAGTCCACCACTGCCACTGCCACAGCGAGAGTTAAAGTACCGGTACATAGCTTGTGCTGGAGCTGACTTCTCATGGTTAGTCTGAGGTTTTGGTGGAGGTTGTAAGAGCCAGTGTCTCCCTGTCTCCCATCCCGATCGACCCCTTCGGGAATGTGTATCACACAGCTGTTGCCTATCTCAGTGCCCAGGGTCCCTCCCTACTGCCCATCACATACATGCTATGCGCCAAGGTGGCCAACATCTACTCAGGTAGATTTCGAGGCTGTATGCGCTTTACCTCACCCCCTAAAGATGGCTGTGAGTACAGTACCGACTGCTAATCGGTGCTGACTTGGCTGCGGTAGCTCCAGCGAAACACCTTCATCCCATGCCTCTAAGATCGGGAGTGGGCTGGCTTGGGTTTGACCCAGAAAAAACAGAAATGGCCATGCTTCTCATAGACCCACGGGCGCTCTTCCTCTCCTGGACAAACTCTTGTGACTTCCTGGTGGCACTGCCGTGAGGAAGAGGGCTCTGACTACATTTTCTTCCAGGTTATGTTGCAACTTAACTTCTTCCTCTTCAGCTTCCCCCACAGTACCGTCTGTGGCCAGATTATTTCCCTGCTGTTCTGGATATTTGCCCTTTCTTTTGGTTCCGTTCTAAGCCAAGTCCTTCCACAGCACACATCCAGTACCACAATTTGGAAAGGGAGGCAGGCGTGAAGTATAGGAATCAACCATGGGAGTCATTTCTCTCTTTTCATAAAGAAATGAAACTTTATTATCTTCAAGTACATATGTAGTACCTCAAGCTAAAAAGTCTTACAGAAGGTCACCAGTAGGGATCGTGTAGATGTTCCTTTAACAAATGTATCAGCACTGATGATAACTAGCCTATGCACTTGCTGACTCTAAAGGGAGAGAGATTTCTAAAGTGCCTGAAAAGCCTACTTTGAGACAGACTAAATATACCACTCCTAGCAGTATTGTTTATGCTCTTAATTTACTGACCAAATGACTTCTTTATTGATTGTGCAAAGGTAAACTTTTGTTCAAAGTCAATGATCTCAAATTAATCCAGCCCAAATAAGTATGGTGTCCTATTTAGACTTCCAACCCAAGGCCACGACTTTAGAATTTCAAGGTGCTTATGATAAAGCAAAACTCTACTGCGATGAGACAGGAGCCCTTGGGAGGCCCTTGGGCCGGGCCTAATGCTTGTCTTGTCCTTCATGTTTCCACCCTAGGCCTTCCAATTTTCCTGCTGTCTCTCTCACTTGCTTGGCTCCTTCATCTAGGTCCAGGTATGCAATGCTCTCTAGGCCAGGCTTAGAGTGAGTGCGCAGCTGTCCTCACAGCAAAAATGTCAGGTCAGAAGGGAGTAAGGGAAGACGGACGACTCTGTTCCACAGGAACCTGAAGCCAGCTTCCTGTCTCAAGGGAAGTGGGCACCTGCCTGGGAGCAGTGGCTCTGCCATCTGGGAGGTCAAAAGCAGATTCTCTTAAGATTTTTCTCTTGTGTCTAAAGTTCCTGACAGTGTCATGACCTAACCTGATTATTCCTGCCAATGGCCAGGACATCCTTTTCCAGGACCAGCTAGGCAATACTGGAAATGATGTGGGTTCAGCAGGATGGGCTTGAAGGGGAAGGGAGTGGGAGAGCAGGGACGGACTGGCAGCTGACGGGGGTCTCAGAGCAGCATGATGCCTGGGAAATTATTCTGAAGAGGTGGGTGTTCCCAAGAGCATGTGGTTGAGATAGCTGGACCTTCTGTGACCCCTGAGCCTTGTGGACAGAGAGGACCACTACCCAAGGGTCAGTGGGGCACTTGGTGGCACACTGCCTCCTGGTCTTGCCCCTGCAGCTAGTCTGATGAGATGGGAATTTGCTCTGCTTGTGAGCCAGTCTATAAAGCCCACCCACCTACCTGGAGACTCAAGGTGACAAACTGGTGGTCACTGCCTACCTTCCTCCCTTTGCTGTCTCCTCCTTCGGCCGGCATGTCCCAATCTCTCCTTGCCAAATGAGCTCTCCTCTCTAGCTAGGTTCCTGACTGGCCTTGGCTGGGAGACAGCCCTAACCTCCCCAACCAGCTTCCCTTTCTGGCCTCAGGCGCTCACACAGACGGAGAATTTTGTGTTTTCAAGGTCTGAGGGGGAGCAGCG